TATATTGATATTTATTCTACGACGCAGATATATCATCTAGACTAACATTGCAGCCAATTTTGATTTTATTATCTTTATTCAATTAAAAATACTTATTCTAATGTTTGTTTGTGATCTACTTTTTTAAAATTATAAACAAATTTTTTTATCAAAATGCATTATTATTTTGATATTGGAAATTTTGAGATACTATATTTATATAATGCTACTACTGCAATCCTGCATCAGTGATCAGCTTTCATACCTTGATTTCTTTCTTCATAAGTAATTCTTGTTATCCGTTTCGATTTTTTAACTTAAGTGCTCATATAGTCATAATGAGACAAGAAACATCGAGCGGAATTAAGGAGGCAATATTTACTATGGAAACTATTAGCCTGTCTAATTGACTTGTAGGTTTTTATTTTACTGCAATCCATTATTTTTAGCCTATTTTAATTTTTACAATTCTCTTACTCTATAATTTATTCAATTATTGGACAAATTTATACTGACCTTAGATTCTTTCTTCACAAATATTTTATGCTTTTAGTTGATTTTCGCAGAGGAGTATACACGCGCTATGGAGCAGGAGCACCACAGTGGCCATTTCGCCTGTCGTAGTTGTGATGCTAGTCTAACTGGACAACGATATATCTTGCGTGACGAAGAACCACACTGCTTGGCCTGTTATGAGGCTAAGTTTGCCAACACTTGCGAACAGTGCAAAGAGAAGATTGGTTGCGATTCAAAGGCAAGTCTTCTTTCCCCATGCTACAATTAGCCACATCCTTTGCTTTCTCATTCTGACTCCCAAACAGCTTGCATGCTTAAAAATGAAGATCCAGATGTTATTTTCTTTGGTTTAGTAGCAGTCTTCACTTTATGGATTTGGTTTGATATATTTTTCCCTTTATAGTCGTTTTTTATACAGACTTCGAAGAAAGTCCACTGTATTTCATCATCTGCCATTGTTTTCATCTGTTCCTCCAGTAGTAGACCGTTGACTTATTACATTCTCAAACGCCGAGCCGGCATCGTATTCTGTACCTTCAATGTGCAGTGCTATCAAATCAAAGTAACAAGTCAGCGAAACATTTGTGAATACACCCATTTAAAGCTCCAAGACTGGAAGAACAAATAAGTTTAATGAAAGAGAATTCAGTGTGGATTAAGTTCTTCTAAGTCTTCATGAAAATACGACTAGGTTGCGAAAGTATAATCAAACTGACTCAACTGCATGCTTGCTAGCTTGGCCGGCTTATTTCACACTTATTTTGTTATCTGCATATTAGTTTAGCATTTGTTCTCATTTCCACATTAAACACTTCCCTGTATACTTATTTTTTAGCCGTCTGTGTTATATATTCTAAATCTTGCTTTCTTGCAGCCAAATTGATTCAGGATTATGGGTTTCGTCCTTATTGTCTCTGCTACCATGATCTCTCATTTTTATGATTAATTGCTTGATTATACTTCCCTTTAAGCATCTATTCGAACATAACTCGTCTCTTTTACATAATTTATTTCGATATTCATCCTGGCTTCAATGACGATTCATTCATTTCTAAAAGTCTTACACTAAGCCTTAGGTGTCCCCAACAAAAGCTTGGGGTCTCTTCCGTATTTTTGTGACTCTTAATGTCACTTGCGACATAGATCTTTTACCATTGCGAAGTGCGATGAATCTCCATTATTTTACTCCCTATTCTATCAATGATATATAAGTTATGAGTTTGAATCAACACTGGTCAATCTGCTTATGAGGTACTTTACTGTTTCATAATGGTCTGAATCATTTTTTATTAAATTTTAGTAAAGGCTTATTGAAATGTGATATATAACATGAAATCCGTATCGTCTTAATCCTATACAAGTCTTAGAAAAAAGTGGTTAAGAAAGAAAGTATTTGAGATGGCTTGATGCATTATGACTTTTATTTATGCTTGTAACCTTCACCACAATGCAATTCCTTATTAGGCCCTCCATTGTCTTCATATCCAAGATGACGCTTATCTTCTTTCTATGCGATTAGACCCAAAACCCTTTTACTTTTTTTCTTTGTATCTGAACTACTTTTTTCGTGAATCGCCTCTTATATTTTGTTATTTGTTCTCATATTAACCGCTTAATGACATTTCTTTGGATCATCACTAACTTGTTGTTTCGGTTGTGCTTTTCTTAAACTCTTGTTTCGCACGGACATTGTAGTAGTTTTACCTAAAATTTATGCATATTTAATCAGTTAACACTCACTCTACAAGCGAAGTCTCCTTTATTTGAAAGAGAGAATGTTTTGAAATGTATTGTGTCTTATTTACTTTTCTGAAAGGCAAATAATGATGATACTTAGGAAATCGTCTTTTCTCCTAACTGAGCAACATATTCGGTTTTTTCGGCTCAGCTTCGACTTACTTTTATTTATCTCATGACTTTTCGGCGGCTCAAAACTTAGCTAATGCATCTCCTTTCCTTCCCTTATTTCCTTGTCTCCACTTGTCTCCTGGTCTCTCTCCACTGCCTGTTTCTTCCTCTGGGCCTGGAATTTCACAACTGTCATTTTGTTCACCAATTACATTTTCGATTTCGTGGCTTCTTCATGAATTGAATTGTTCCCTTCTCGTTTTCCTCAAGGCTTCGGTGTTGTCAATTTAGCTAGATTATCTATAAATAATTATTCCGACTTTCTTTATGGTTATACTGATTATGATACAATTTCGCTTTATCCATCCATACTCCGGTTATTCTTTTGCTTGTGTTTACTGCTGTATGCCTCTATATTAACTCTTATCTGTGTCTTCTTTTACTTTCACAAATTTTGGTATTTGTTGTCTTCATTTGCATTTACATACATATTCTCTCGCGTGTTTATTTTTTCACTCTGTCTATGCATCTATTTGTCATTATTTTTCTTTAACATTTCTTACTCTTTCTCCCTTCTTTACTATAATTCTTCTTATTACATTTGTCAATTCGTCCTCCTAATTCCAATTTTTTCTGTTTCTTTTCTTGTCTTCTTGTCCATATTTAATCTTATTATATATATTCACCGATATGTTAGAGTCCTTTCTTGCCATCCACTGGGTTTAGAAATAGGTATTTTCGTCTATTCAAATTCTTTTTATTTAGTTCACTTTTAGGCTTTCATAATCCATTTATTAGTTTGCCTTCTCTTACTACATACCTATAATTTCATTCTCCACATTTCAGTTATAATTTTTCTCTAACTGATTTTATTTATTAGTCTCACTTAATTATTTGAATGCTATCACATATTTTTGCTCTTTGATTATATTGGAGCTATTTTTTCCTATTCTTTAATCCTTGTCGTGAAACTTTCTGTTTCTCATTTTCTTCGCCTAATCCCACTGGTTTGTCTTAGTTAGGGCCACCGGGTCTCATAGTGCCGAATAAGCTGACTCGCCTAGTTAAATCTCCATCTCGACAGAATACTCTGGAGCTCAGTTCCAATGGGAGACTTATCGCCTGTTTATCTTCTCATAAAAAGGTCTGCTTTCGTTTTAAACAGCTTATTTCTGGTCTCATATCTATATACATTCTATCTGTATATATTCCTTTTCCTTCTTTTCTTTATATAAGTCTTATTCGGACTTTTAGTCTCTAACTAGATCATATCGCCTTCAAATTTTATTAATTCGCTTGACTATACCTTTCTATTTCACTTCGATTTCAATTCATTTTCTCATACCTGGTCAAATGTTCACCTCAGATTCTGCTTGCACAAACTTTTCTCTGGTAAATCTTTCCGCTGAATAGAAGCAATTAATTTTTTATTTTGCTAGTTTCTCTAGCCCTTTAGCTCTTGATTTTCTCTTATTCCTTCGTTCTATTTTGGTCATCTGCTCCTACCATAAATGAAAGTCAACATCCCTTTATTTTGTTATTTTATCCACAGTTCTTTGTTGTTCTACATTACTTTGTTCTATCACAGCCTAATTTCACAGAGTCGTCGAATCGATCAAGAAGAATACGTGGCTTATTTTAGTTTTTCATAATTTATATTCCTCTTGATATTTTTTGTTTATCCTAACTGCTATCTTAATATTTTTTCCGATTTATCTTAAGAAAATTTCTATTTATCTTTTTATTCTGAAACCCAGTCTAGAATTAGACAATTTTTCGCTTTTGTCTATATTCACACGCATTCATTTATTCATTATCTCGCCATTGAAATAGTACTTACTATGAGCACAATCTATATTAAAATTGTACTTATTATTCTCATTTAAATATGACTAGATTTTCCGCTTAGCTAACTTCATCTTTTTCCAAAACTCTCGACATGCTGTCCTTCATTCTTCCATAACAGCTAAATATCCTTACATTTTTGTCAGAGACGGAGATAATATCCAGTCGTTGCATCTATTTTGTTTCAGCCTAATATTCGCTTATTAAGCCTTATATGAGTTAGAATACAGCCAGCTCTTTTGTTTGGACGGACATAATTTGAATTAGAAAAGTTTACTTCTAGATTATTCGCTATCATATTTGCAGCTTTTCTCCTAAATTAGTAAAAATCCTTCTCAAAGGAATATTAGTTAAAAAAATATTTTCTTGATCCCAAATTAAACAATGTCGCTTCGCAGCCCAGGGCTTGCTAACACCGGTTCTTGATCAGAAGACACCAGCATCTCTTAAATAAGCTACAACTCGAATTTTAGTACACACTCTTATTTAACATTTACATAACCCTTTTCCGATTATGCATTCCATGCTTTTCGAAGGTTATTCAGTTACAATCTTTAAATGAAAACTTTAAACCTACCCACTTCAAATGTCTTGTTTCTTCGCGGTTTTGCATTCTATATCCACTTGTTCTAATTTTACTAGCTTT